AACATAGGTTCCCAAACTGATTTGGCCTATTGCCCCCATTTCAGAAGGAAAAAAAAATCATTAAGCACCTAGCAATTAAAAGCTTTTAATTGCTGGAACCCATAATCCAGCATAGAGGGTAGCTATCTGCCTTTGCAGCTCCACCCCCCTCCCATCCTTCCAGTGCTTCCCCCTCACCTGCAAAGGGTGGTTTCACCCACTTTAGGCCACACTGTTCTCCGCCTGCAGAGAAAGTGTTCCCCTGGACCTGGTTCCCTAAATTCAGACTTCTAACCTCCCTGTGAGAAAATTCATTTGCTCCTTAAAGTCATCTACTTATGGTATTTCTGTCCTAAGTAGCTCCAGGTGTCTAGGGCATTATCTAAAAATAAATGTTTTGTAGTTGAACAAACTGAGGGTCAAAGAACCGTTTTAACCAAAGGAACGTCATCAACTAGCACAGCTGGTAAGTGGTGGAGCCTTAGGCCGGTATAGTCTTTCCACTTCCCTATTTCCTTTTACAAATTATATTCATCCTTTTCTACTCCGCTATCCTTTCGCTCTCCCCCTGTCCCTTTCTCAAATTGTAAATGTCCTTATCGCTAATTTACAAAATGATACTGGATCTAAGGTGATCAATGGAAACTATTTCTCTGGAAACCTATCATTCCAGTGCAATTGCTGTGACTATATTTTTCCTGCCCTGCTCACAGGAGGGACCCTTTTTCCCCTCAGAACCTTGAATTCTGGGAACAAGATGCCATATTCCCTCTTTGGCTAGGCTGGAAGCAGCGGTTCACCGCTGTAGGAAGTGCCCAGCCCCACCAACAGCAGTGACTTGTGTCATCTCTGGGGGTGACCAGGCCGTGTTGAACCTTTGCCACATACTTTCTTGAGTTGTCTTCAATAACATTCCCAGGAGACTAGTCCTCTGAAATTTCTCTTAGGGAAAAGCACAAAGAAGTATTTTTCTTGATTTAAAAAAGAAATTACATTTCTTCTGAAAGCCTGAAATTATGGCTGCGACAGTGGACTCCAACATAGGAACAGCTGTGAGGATGTCGCAGGACAGGGCAGCGTTTCACCTTCTGTTGTTCAGATGGTCACTTGCTATGAGTTGTAAGGAGCCCAGGTGACATGGTTGCATACTGCGCTGTTAACTGCAAGGTCAGCAGTTCAAAACCACCAACCCACCCCTGCGTTAGTGTGCATAGACTAGAGAAACAAATCCATAAACAAGGGGAAACCGATTACAAGGATCTACATATAACCTCCTCCCTGGGGGACGGACAACAGAAGAGTGGGTGAGGGGAGACGTCGGACAGGGCAAGATATTACAAAATAATAATTTATAAATTATCAAGGGTTCATGAGGGAGGGGGGAGCAGAGAGGGAGGGGAAAAATGAGCTGATGCCAGGGGCTTAGGTGGAGAGCAAATGTTTTGAGAATGATTAGGGCAATGAATGTACAAATGTGCTTTACACAATTGATGTATGTATGGATTGTGTTAAGAGTTGTATGAGCCTCTAATAAAGTGATTTTTTAAAAACCCTAAAAAAGCATGCATATGTGTATGAGAGTTTTATATAAAGGGTAATTTATATAAATTTATAAGAAAGCATCCTAACCCAGTTCAGTCCAACCTCCTAAGTCCGATATTAGCCCATATGCCCGATACTAGTCTATAAAGTCTTCTTCAAACTCAAGAAACATATGCAATGATGCCGAATGCAGAATGATCATAGGCCAGTGGGTAGAAAGTCTTTGGATCCAGAGGCGTTGTAAGCATCTCTGCACTGGCAAGAGTCTCCCCATGACTTCTCCAGCACCCAGGGCTGCATCAGGGTAGGTACATGTGGCTTCTCACGGATGCCTTGCAGGAAGTGAGCAGTGAGAGAGTGTCTCCCGCCTCCAAGGAGGAAATTGCAGAGTTTTCCCAGAATCCTCGGGAAGGCCATGCCCACAAAGGCCTCATTGGCTGTGACCCAATTAACAGACTAGACTCCACCCCTTCACTCTTAATCTTCTCAAGTCCCAAACTGACACGAGATTATGTAACTACCACAGCCTCTTAGGAAAAAATGAAGCTTTCCATTCCCATACAGTTATAGTCTGAGGCCCACAGGGCTAGTTCTACCCTGTGCTGTCGGCTTGCAGTGAGTCGGAATAGACTCGGTGGCAGTTACTGTTGGATGGGTTGGAACCAACGCTACAATAAATACCCAGCAACAAGTTAGGATTTTTAGGAAAAGATTGTCTTTGTTTTCCACATTTTCTTACGTGCTGACCTCTCAACATAGGCCGTCACCGATGGGTCATGTATACCACTGAAATGAATGGCAAGAACACATTCTGGGATGTGGATGGAAGCATGGTGCCCCCTGAATGGTAAGCACAACCAGCTGTTCATTTGACTTACGTGTTTCATTACGAAAATACTTAGTGCCCGTGTGGCAGGCAGTCCGTGCGCGGCATGCTCTGAAAGCTGCTCTGGTTTTGATGACTGAGTTTCATGGGCTGAAACAACAGTCCTGCTTTCTTTGCGTGTGTGGTTTTTCTGGGTCAGAAGTTCAGATGAAACACAGCAGCTGCAGCTTGTCTCTGCTCCATGGTGTCTGGCCCTCAGCGGGGCGACTCCAAGCCCGGATGCAGGAGTTCATGCATTGCCTGCTTAGTCATTGTGCGGCCGTTAATGCTGGTTGTCCGTGGAATCGTTGCTGGGGCTGTGGGCTGCCCTCTCATGTGGTTTTCTTGGTAAATGTCCTGAAAGAGAACGTGAGTCAGCCAGGGGCCACTTTCCTTTTTCTGACTTTGTGCATTTCACAAAAGGTTATGACACACTCAATACTAATAGTGCCTAGTTAACATGACAAAACTGGTCCCAAATGGGATTATAAAAACACCCCAAACTCAATGCCATCTGGTCCATTAGGACAGGGTAGAACTGCCCCCTGTGGGTTCCTTGAAACTAACTTTTGGGGGATTAGAAAGCCTTGATGGTCTCTCTCGGAGTGTCTGGTGGTTTCGAACTGCTGCCCTTGAGGTTAGCAGCCCAACACATAACCACTATGCCACCAGGGCTCCCCTAAATGGGCTTATACAGACAGTTCTAAGGGTCAGGAACTACAGCATGTATTTTTGTAGGACCCTTCAATCAGTAACACAGCCATATTCATTTCCTCTCCATCCAGTCAGGTAAGACCTCAACCCAGAGTTTCTAGGCCACCTTTCCAAGAGAAGCTGGAATTTGGATATCTTTGTGCGATGTTTTGGTATTTTAAATGCTAACAATTTGATAGGATAGATACAGCACACCCAATAGAGCTTTCTGAAGATAATGGAAGCATTTCCTGTCTGCATTGTTTAATATGGTAGCCACAAGCCACACATGGGAGCTCTGGTGGCATAATGGGTCACGTAATAGGCTGTTTGTTAATCGCAAGGTCATCACTTTGAAACCACTAGCCACTCTGAAAGAATGAGGAGGCTTCTGAAAAGATATACAATTAGAGAAACCCACAGGGGCAGTTCTACTCTGCCCTATAGGGTCGCTGTGCGTTGGATGGACTCAATGGCAGTGAAGTTGAGCATTAGAGGTGGAGTGCAGTTTGAGCACACGTGATCACCATCTGAAATGTGAACAGCCAATGTTTTCATTTTATTTAAATTCAATGTTCTACCCTACCAGGCAGAGCAGTTTTAGAAAATACTGGTCTAGCTAATCAAACCAGGTTTAGAAATACCACCGTCAGCTCTCAGTGCCCGGTCTACCAGTGAACTAACTGATTGGAAGTACTGATCCACCAGTCAGTGGTGTGGTTCGACCATGATATTGGATGACGTCTTTACAGTAAAGCTCATTGGTTCTTAACAGCAGAAAGCAGCACTGATTAACATTCTCATGCTGCTTTGGGGGCTGCTCCGGTTGGATTTCGTGCACTTTGTGATAGGAAATAATGATCGATTGCTCTTTTAAGGCCCGAGGGCCTGAGATTTTTAGGTTTAGAACTGTTATCATTCTCTGTGTTAGCAGATGTCCGGAGACCACTGTCTCCAAGTGGAACATGGGCTTTGGGAGCTGAGATTTCCTCCTGGGTTTTGATGGGGTGTTAAGAGGAGCTGACCCTGGCAGGCTGGAGAAGGCATGTGGGCTGTCTTGTTCAGACTGAGGTCTATGTCCTTCAGATCAACCATCTAACATCAGGGCCCACATTTTTTATGGTAGAGCAATACCAGTTGAGTTGAAATTTTGAGAGATATACTAGGCTGAAAGCGATGAAATAGTAAAAATTCTGAAAAGCTAAAAGTACTCTTCAACCAAGCCAGTCCTTTTCTGTAATGATCTGAGATCACAGGACAAAGCTGAGAGCCTGAGAAGATAAGATCATTCTAGCCAGGTGCCTGAGGGCAAGCGAGGGACCAGCACAGAAGGCTTTGTGGCACTGGAAGGCTCCTCAGGGCTGAGGGCCTTTGATGCTCCTTGTGAGTAAGAAAAGCGTAAAGGCTTGCAGTGAGTCTGTGAGGGAAGCGGTGGTGCTGGGTAAGCTCCAATGTTGCTCAGACAGTCCTTGCCAAGGGTAATGCAAGGTGGAATTCTCAATCTGTGGAGTCTTACCTTAGATTTGATCCATTAACACATGTGAAGTTGTGTTGATTTATTTTTAATTAGAAAGCTAGGTATTATCTTACATGCAAGGCAGTGAGTAACAAATACAATTTGGCCTCTATGCATTTCAAATAACTATTGATCCCACCTATGAGGTGCTAAGAATTATTGTAGGCTCTGGGGATGCAACAGGGAATAAACGGAAATTATTGCCCTTAAGAGATAGACATAGGACTTTCATTCACTGACTCACTCTCTCACTCACTCACTCTCATTCACTCACTCTCTCACTCACTCATTCACTCTCATTCACTCACTCTCTCACTCTCTCAATCACTCACTCACTCTCACTCACTCACTCTCACTCACTCACTCTCTCACTCACTCACTCACCCTCACTCACTCACTCTCTAATTCACTCACTCTCATTCACTCACTCTCATTCACTCACTCTCTCACTCACTCATTCACTCTCACTCACTCTCACTCACTCACTCACACTCACTTACTCACTCTCTCACTCTCTAATTCACTAATTCTCACTCTCTCTCACTGACTCACTCTCTCACTCTCGAGTTCACTCACTCTCATTCACTCACTCACTCTCTCACTTACTCTCTCACTCACTCAATCACTCACTCACTGACTCACCCTCTCACTCACTCTCTCACTCACTCACTCTCTCACTCACTCACTCTCTCACTCACTCACTCTCTAATTCACTCTCTCAATCACTGACTCACTCTCACTCACTCACTCTCACTTACTGACTCATTCACTCACTCACTCACTCACTTTCATTCACTGACTCACTCTCTCACTCACTCACCCTCACTCACTCACTCAATCTATCTTTCACTCACTCACTCACTCAC